CTGTGAGACTTCCTGAGCCTTTCCTGCACATTCTACATTCATTTAGCATGCAATTGTTGTAACACATATAAAAGTTTAAAATACATGAAAGGAAACACTGCATGACTAACCATGCACTGGACTGGACAGACCACACAGAAAAGTGAGGCTACAAACGGTTTTATTTTTTTTAATGTGCCCAGTGGGCAGCTATAGAGCGGTTTTAGACTTTCACCAGCTCAGGCAAATGCATGAACAAGCCAGCTCTGCCTGACTCAACCTGACTCACTAAAGTTAACATTTACCTAACTCTTTACATATGAGCTAATTAAACAACAATAATGCATTATTTACAGGTAATCAACGAAGATCTCACTAATAGTTTGCAAATTAAGTGCTTTATTACTGTATGCTTAGTATAAAGTGTTGCCAAGTTTTTGTTTCTCTCAACAGTAATGCCATGGTGCCAAAAATGTCTCGGCAGTATCATTGTACTTCTTTGTCAGTGTGCCCTTGGGAAATCAATGATCTAAATACCTAAATTAATAGGGTGTGACAAAGAATAATTTCTTTCACACAGTTTGTTTAACAGATGAAACCAGAGTGTAAAACTACTGTAGTCAACAAAAGCTAAAGTTGTGAGCATACGAGCTCCTGCTGTGCATCGCTGCCGTTCTTTACGTGAGAAACCGATGTGAGTACCTTGAGAAGATATTGATCAAGGATTACATGTTATAATAGGGTGTGACAAAGAATAATTTCTTTCACACAGTTTGTTTAACAGATGAAACCAGAGTGTAAAACTACTGTAGTCAACAAAAGCTAAAGTTGTGAGCATACGAGCGCCTGCTGTGCATCGCTGCCGTTCCTTACGTGAGAAACCGATGTGAGCACCTTGAGAAGATATTGATCAAGGATTACATGTTATCCACCATCTGCGCTCTTTCAATAAAACTGATATATGTTTATTCTCCTCTGAAACACAAGCAATGTCAGACGAATCATCGCCATTGTCAGTAGGACAAACTGAATGACACTTGGCTGTTTGAGATTTTAACAAACCCTCCTTTGCTCTAAAACCTGTCAGTGGAGAATAGCATTTTAACAGCATCACCCGGCTGATTGCTCAGTGCAGGAATAACCTGACCCGACTCTCTCAATCATCACAGATTGGGCCAGAGGTACAGTGATAGTTTTAAATAATAAAAAAAGATTTCATGCATCATATCTCCTTTTTAATAAATGCAATATTTCATCTCTTCAAGGAGACAGCTCTCCGTTAAATCTGACTGGACTGTTCTTTTTCCATAAGATAAAGCTGTACAAATCTGTTAAAGGTAACAAACACGTTATTTCATAGATTCTAATGTACTAGGAGAGATAAGTACATCACATTATTTATCACATAAACATATCTAATTATACATATTATCACAGGTCAAGATCTTATTTATTTTATTATTATTTTGAATTTATAAGAAATGATGGTAGCACTTTATTTTAAGGACTAATTTTCACTATTAACTAACTATTTTGCCTCAAACTAATTTGCTGCTTATTAATAGTTTGTAAAGTAGTTGTTAAGTTTAGGTATTGGGTCGGGCTAAGGGATCTAAAATATGGTCATGCAGAATCATGCATTAATATGTGCTTTATAAGTACTAATAAACAGCAAATATGCTATTAATATGCATGCTAATAAGCGACTAGTTAATAGTGAGAATTGGTCCTTAAAATAAAGTATTACCAAATTGATGTGTACATGTAGAACATATCATGGCAAATCTAATTCCACAAACAATTCAAAATGTTGTCTGAATGATGCATTGCATTGCAGCAATAGATTTTACAATGCTAGGATTTATAACACATTTCAGTACATTACTTAATATCGATACAATGGGCCTGTTTACACCTGGTTATTTCATGCGTTTTCGCTGATCGGATTTCTATCTGATTTGTTAAAACGTTTCCATTTACACTTGGCCACATAAATGTGTCGTCGCAAAATGGATTTAAATCTGATCTTCAATTCCCGAGCTACATTTAAATTTAACGGAGTTCACGTCAACGAAATAAAAAAATAGGCGCTGCATTTTATTAATTATCAGCTCATTTCAAGATCAAAGACTGCAATAGGAGAGCGCGTGGCATCAGCACTGAAAAGATAAGTTTGTCTGACTACTTTTAATGAAGATGATTGTGTGTTGACCGTCTGCGTCTTACTTTGTTTCATTCGTGGCAGTTTGTGCGTCGGCTTGCTAAAGAGATACTCAGCTACTCGCCCGCGGTTATGCATGTTGCATTAGCGCAGTCTGACTAATGTCATATAGCCTATAACACGCTCTCACACGTTTATTATTTTATCATTTTGGGAGGAGTAAAATTTACATATGTGGTTTCAACAACCAGATGCATTTACACTTGTCCAGTTTCGTCTGGAATGCGGCCCAGACCAGCTCCTGAAGTGGTTTGAGCAATCGGATTTATATCTGTCTCGAATGCGTTTCGGAGGGCATTTACACCTGGTCTTTACACGATCGGATAGCTATCCAATCAGAAAAAATGCATGAAGTGACCAGATGTAAACAGGCCCAATGTGTAGTTGGTTCTGAGTGCAGAGTTGAGCCCCAAACACAAAAAGTCATTATAGACTAACAACTTTGAAATATTTGTTATTTTTTGTAAATGTTGAGTAAACCAAGCAAATAAATTAAATATAAATAATAAACTTGGGGGTTGTGTCAAAGGTGATGGCATATGTCTCGCTCCAAATGTTGTGGATGATTTGAAACATCCAGCTGTTCTCCGCCGTATGGCTCTATTTAAACTGGAATGTGTTTCCTGAAAACAGATCTAAAATAGAGCTTGTATCTCCATTAATCAGGATCCCCCGCCCCCACCCAACCCCGTCAAACCTCTGTGCTTTTAATTAAAATTCCCTTGGAATAGCAGTTCACACATGCCATTGGAAATCTGAAAGCTGTAGAGTGAAACTAGCACACTCATTATATAGAATATTTGAGATCCCCAAACCCCTCGGTTGTCAACTTGCAAACCTTTAATGACATCAAACGCATGCCGCCGTGCAAACCTGCAGCTGACAGGGCAGTAAACATACCTCCTAATGGATGTGTGTGTGTAGAGCAAGCAGTTTTTAAGTTTTAAAGAAACATGCAGATAGCTAATTTCAGCCCTAATTGCAATGTCGGTCTCAATGTGCTCATGGATATATTGCTTACTTTATTCTAAATATATTTCAAGCGTACTATTTGACCCTCTGGGCCGCTTTTCATTACGCACAATTTGCAGGCCCAGGTAAAGCAACTAATTACGGTTTTTAAGCTGACCTCTGTGGCCATATGCAGGATTTGATTAGGCTGCAGAGACACCGGTCTGCCTTTGCCTTTCCTTCACTCTGACAGCTCAGGCTAACTCGAGGTTGTACATAGCATCTACAGCAATCATCACCATTGACTTAATGACTGCTTCATCAAAAAGGGCTGTATAGCGCAGACCTGACTGACTGTTTCAGCTAAAAGAGGAATTTCCCTAACAAGCAGGTGCGGGAAAGGAGCGATTGCAGCTCTTGGCAGAGCTGATATTTCTTTTTGTTTGTCCTCCAACAACAAGCTCCAAGTGGTCTCCCTGCTGTAATGAATTTCCATGCTGAGCCAGATTTAACTGGTGAAGGTGGTTGGCTAAAAAAGCACTGCAAGCTATACTAATAAAGAAACATGGAAACACCAAGGCACCAGTGGCATGCGTCATGTTTTGAGCATTTTATAGTTATCAAGGTGATTTTACAAACCAGGCTCACTGGGAAAAAACCTAATTGATAGTGTTAACAAAAGCAAAAGTGAGAAAGCCATGCCACTTTAGTTGGATTCTACAACTCTTCAAGCTCTTTTATTGTGATTGTGTTTCACAGGAGTCGTTACCGCAAGTGCAACGCTGTACCAGGTGTGCTACCGAGCAAGTTTACTTGCTGCAGAAAAGCCATACGTATTTAACTGATTATGTGACGCAAAAGTCAAGATGTATTAGTTTACAAATTGTGCACTATGGTAAAATTGTGTAGAGGTCATAACACAGTATTATGCAAGGAACCACGCAAAAATAAGACTTTATCAATCTGCTCCTGTAATCATAATTTTTGTGAAAAGCTATTCAAGCTGCTGGTGTTGCACTGCCTCTAGTGCGGAGTTCAGCTTCTCTATTGCTTGCCATTCCAAAGTTCATCTAGTTTGCAATTATCATATAAACTTCAAATGTTTTATTCATTAATATTATACTAAGTAAATAGTGAGTTTTTAAGGGCTCTTAAAAGTGTGATCCAAATGAGTGTTGGATGAAGTAGATACTGACCCACAAACTTGCATGTTCAACTTGTTAATGACTCTTCAATTTAACTCTTGAACTTGTGAAAGCACATAAAGTTCTCTTTTCTTTCTTCTTTTTTTTTGTTATTAGTATGAATGTTAGCCTTAAAGTAAGCTAGTATGCACCAAAACAATGACAAAATTCCATTTAGAAGATAAATGCATTCAAAATGCAAGCCTCTCAGTGATTTTGATGACATCATTCTGCACTTCAGCTTCTCATTAGATTTTCTGTCCAATCAAATGCCATCTAGAATCAGAGTTGTCCTGCCCCTTACACTATAAAAGACACTGAAGCTACGACTGAAATTGGCTACTTGTTTGCATATTTCCAATGTTCTGTATGGTGAATGGCACAAAGTGCACTATCTAGTGGATAGAGAATGAATTGGAGGAATAATAATTAAATGACAGAAACGTTTGACAAAGACTAAAGCACAACAAGCAGTAGCACTGTGGGAACCTTTCTTCTTTCTTCTTGTGTCTGTTTCTTCAACAGTCACAAGTCTAACTAAAGGATGGATTCTGACTTGAAAGTGCGCACAGCCATTGAAGTTTGATGCATTTTAATCCTGCAGATTTCAACTCAATGCAAGTTCAATGCAGATACATAACTCTCTCATGCGGTAGGAGACTCACCCTAAAGAACTCTTTGGTTGATCCTGAGTCCAAGGTTCCGTATGCGATCTCCGTTTGTTTGGCTAGATCTTCAGCACTCTCTATGGGCGAGACCATCCTCTCTACTGTGAGGAAAGCAGCCAGGTTAGCAGTGTAGGACGAGATTATGATGAGGGTGAAGAACCACCAGACGCCTCCCACTATTCTGCCCGATAAGGACCTGATGCACAAACACACACATACATACATTCAGGCTTGAATATGTTGATGGTTCACACAACTCTAATCAATACATCAGCTCCACAAACATGCACTTATTTACTCACCCTCATGTTATTCCAAACCTATAGGATTTTTTCTCTCTCCGTTTAACACAAAATAAGATATGGTCACACTTAGTTTGGGGACCAACTCTCACTATTAATTAACTATTAACTATGACTTTTTCCTCAATAAACTCCTAATTTGCTGCTTATTAATAGTTAGTAAGGTAGTTGTTAAGTTTAGGTATGGGGCAGGATTGAGGGATATAAAATGTGATCATGCAGAATAAGGCATTAATATGTGCTGTATAAGCTCTAATAAACAGCCAATATGTTAGTAATATGCATGTTACTAAACAACTAGTTAATAGTGAGAACTGGTCCCTAAACTAAAGTGCTGCCAAAGATATTTTGAAGAATGCTGGTAACCAATCAGTTGACGGTAACCATAGACATCTATAGTATTTTTTTTCTCCATGCTATGGAAGTCAATGTCTACCATCAACTGTTTGGTTACACATATTCTTCAAAATATCTTCTTTTGTGTTAAACATAAGAAACAACCTCATACATGTTTCGAGCAACATGAGGTGAGTAAATAATTACATAATTTTCATTTTTGGGTGAACTGTCCCTTTAATGTCAATAATTTTACACCCTGGTTAAACCTAAAAAGAACAATAGATTAAGAAATGAGTTGCATATCAATTTAAATATTTGTTAAATGTGGTTATCATAGAGGAAGCGATTGCAATGTCAAAGTGATGTGGCAGTGTCTCATTCTTTGTACTAAGCCATAGTAGCTTTATTTTTGTTCACCATGTTCATTTAAATACATGACTTGAATTCTGAGTTTCTATTTAGCCACATAGAAAATTTGCAATTTTCACAAATACAATATCGTCACCTTAGAATTATAAGGTTCTATCTGACATTTTCTACCTGGTCTCATGGCATAAACGTACCTGTGGGCACTTTTTAGCGAGACACGAAATATGTACCAATAAGTACATATCACTGCAGTTTCCAAAAGAAATGAACACTAGAGGCAGTAAAACTCCAACACCTTTTATTCCTTTTCACACAATTTTTCAGAGTTTCGATTAATAAAGCATAATTTTCGCACAATTACTTGAAGAATATTATGTTATGACTTCAAGACAATATTAATATGCTGGGAGATTTGAAAACCGATGCTTTTGAATGTTAGCATCACACATATCCAGCTTCATATCAATGGGTTTTCATCGACAGTAGGTTTGTTCGGTAGCTCACGGAGTACGGAGACGTACTTGAGAGGCGAGGAGCTCCGGTTCAAATCCCGTGTAACTACGGTTCGACAAAACAGTTCAAATCTGCATACAAGGAAGTTCAAATGACACGGTTGAATCAACAAGTGCATTTTTATATAAGTTTTGCATTTGTTAACACTATCGGGTAGGTTTAGGGTTGGGTTTGGTGTAGGGCATATTTTCAACACGATAGAGCATCAACTTTTAGCGACAGTCCCCGGATATTTGAATTGTGAACCGCCGCAATACGTTCCTAAAGCAACGTAATAAAAACACAGCAATACGCACCTATATCAATGTAATAAAAATGTGCCAGGGTTCACATATTGAACCCGTGTTTTCGTGCCACTCAGTGGACATTTCTCTTTGAAACTGCGGCGAAACGTGCAGTAAGGTACGTAAAAACAGTGCTGCAGAAAAGTACCCAGAGGTACATATTCTTATGAGACAAATTCACATTCTTATTCTGTGACAACTTATTTCCATTATGTTATTTTTTTTAAAGTTGTGTACATTTTAGGATTTTTATTTAGAAAACATAAAAGGCTCTATCTCCAAAGTTGAACTCTAACTTGGTTCTATAAGGTTCTATCTGTGAGCCAATCAGCACTTCGAATGCACACAAGAGGATTAATCAGAATCAACTTTCTTTGTCATGTCGCTGGACTTCTCCGCAACAGCAGGAAAGATTCAATGTGAAATATTTACATTTTTTGATTGAAATGGGGGGTTAGTGTCATCTTGTTTTAACACTAACAAGATGGGTGTTAAAATAGATTTTAATTATGAAATATAATAGTTTATTAAAAAATATATATAGTTGGCAAGCGCATAGGCTTTCTAGCATTAATATGATGCTACTAAAATGTGCCAGGGTTCACATATTGAACCCGTGTTTTCGTGCCACTCAGTGGACATTTCTCTTTGAAACTGCGGCGAAACGTGCAGTAAGGTACGTAAAAACAGTGCTGCAGAAAAGTACCCAGAGGTACATATTCTTATGAGACAAATTCACATTCTTATTCTGTGACAACTTATTTCCATTATGTTATTTTTTTTAAAGTTGTGTACATTTTAGGATTTTTATTTAGAAAACATAAAAGGCTCTATCTCCAAAGTTGAACTCTAACTTGGTTCTATAAGGTTCTATCTGTGAGCCAATCAGCACTTCGAATGCACACAAGAGGATTAATCAGAATCAACTTTCTTTGTCATGTCGCTGGACTTCTCCGCAACAGCAGGAAAGATTCAATGTGAAATATTTACATTTTTTGATTGAAATGGGGGGTTAGTGTCATCTTGTTTTAACACTAACAAGATGGGTGTTAAAATAGATTTTAATTATGAAATATAATAGTTTATTAAAAAATATATATAGTTGGCAAGCGCATAGGCTTTCTAGCATTAATATGATGCTACTATAGCAACAATTTAGGACAGTCTGTTTCACAAAGTCGCATTTTAATCGTTACATCTGACACACAAACTTCCCACACAAGCAGTTCAACTAAGAATGCAGCACTACTGATTAAGCTAAAGGTACGATGAAATAATTTTTTAATGTTTGATAGAGGGCTAGATGATAGTTGATTGTTTTGCTGCATTTTTATTTTTTGTTGCTGTTCAAGTTGTTCTAACTTAAAATGATGCATCTGTTCAATGGGTCGCAATGAATGTATTATGTCAGGGAATCGGTCGCAATGAGCTTGTGTTTCATTGTAAAGCAGACAAAATTAAGTATTTCTGGTATCACTTGTCCTTCTTTGTGGTAAAACTGCTGCCTTATTTCCTGGATGTCAGATTTTCGAATTTGGTGGCTATGTGATTTTGCTTTATTCAATACTCTGCCATCTGTATTTGCAAAGTATAGTAGGGTCATTCACTCAGAACGCATTTTTTAATTCCACTGCTGTACTTTTCCATTGTAGCCTATTTCAATGTAAACGCACTACTCGACGTATTTGAATGCTGTGCTCTCGTCTCAGGTCTTTATAGCAGCTTCTCGCACATAATACATCATTCTAAAACACAGCGCTCAAGTTCAAATAAAAATACGTCAATGTGAATACTGCAATAATGTGTTTAATTACCCACCATATTACAATTAAAATTAACATCTGGACTGAATAAAATATTTAGCACTGCCTTTTATGCTTACAGTAACTTGAACAAGAAAAAAAAATCATCCTAAAATATGAAATAAATGTCATAGAAAGCATTAAATTTACCTTTCTCATACATGTCAATACATTGTTACAACACTAATTTTATGTTTTAAAACAAAGTAAACCGTTTGTGTTTCTTTAAACTTATTGCTTCAATTAATGTTTTGCAAGATAGAACCTTATAATTACTAGCGGAAAATGATTTTTTTTTTAGAATTAGAAGGTTCTATCTGCATTTGACATGTTCCAAAAATCCCCATTTACAAATTAGAGAGGATTTTGATATTGTCCATTTAGAATACATTTAGGGTCTCTGTCATTTTCATGTATGGAAAATAATTGTTCCCCATATAATTTTTGCTATATGGAATGCAAACATTTCGAAGCTCAATATCTCGAAACGGCTCAGAATGCAGATAGAACCTTATAATTCCAAGGTGGCGATATACAGTATACACACACACACACACACACACACACACACACACACACACACACACACACACACATATATATACACACTGAGTTAGTGTCTCATTTCTGATCTGGCAAAAGTTTGAGTCTCAAAGCTAATTTTCCAGCTGTGCATTTATTGACTGTTGCCTAGACATTATATTAGCATAATCAAATAACATATGGGATCAATGATTGTATTATTTCCTCCAAAGGGTTCTTGCCTTGGGCTGAATGTAAGGTGGTTTGCCCGTTTGAAGACTATGTGCTCTGTCAACCATGCGGGTTTGTGAAATATATATACACAAAGTGCAAATAACAAGTAGAAACTCTTATTGACTTATGCAATGTAATTACTGAATTTTAGATTAACATGATTCTTAATAACATTGTAGAGCCATTTGAAAACTATTCTGCAGTGATACAGTCATGTAAAATGTAATATCCAATCTATAGTGTTCCACATAACTATGGTATAACAGACCAGGCCAAATGCTAGTTATAAGCCGCGGGCGTGATTGTTTGTTTGTTATTTATTTATTCTATCAATGCAAATAAATAAATACAGTTATTAATTAAATTAAAATATATCTGTCTGCGTTCTGCATGTGTATCTAGTGAAACGTTAAAGCACACTCTAAGAAATGCTGGGTTAAATACAACCCAGTGCTGGGTAAAATAGGGACAAACCCAGCAATTGGGTTGGTTTAACCCAGTGGTTGGGTTAAATGTTTAACCCAACCTTCTGGGTAGTAACCCAACTGCTGGGTCAAAACAACCCAATTGCTGGTTTTGTCCCTATTTTACCCAGCACTGGGTTGTATTTAACCCAGCATTTTTTAGAGTGCATATTGGAATATTTGTGCAGTTTTAGAACTACGTATGATAGTTTAGTATTAGCTGTAATTGCATTGATATGGAATTAAAATATACAATTTTAATGTATAACGATCAATCATGTTACAACAAATAAGTATTTTCTTTGCTATTTATTGAGAGCATTGATGAATGCTTTTATTTTATTTATTTTTTCCATATGTGGGTTTGCATTGTTCAGTCATTTTCAACATGGCCTCAGACTAGATTGAAAATCTGGTCTTTTCTTACCCATTAATCACAACTGACTGTAAAAATCATAGAAGAATTATGGGAAAATTATTTATTGATATGATATATTGATAAATGCGTTTATTTTATTGTATTAGTTTTTTTTTGTGTGCTGGTGAGTCATTTTTATTGAATACACAATTGACAGCCAGCACAGGGGAATATAAGGGACTCTACAAAATGATCTATGACAGCGAGCCGCACAATGGAGTCATTATTAATCAACTTCCTGCTGTTAAATGGAAGAACAATGTGAATAATCATACATCTCCGTCACAGGTGCCTACAAAGCGCTGCAGCAGGACTTCTCAAACAATAAATGAATCAGGTAAATGAGAAATTCATTAAAAGTGCCAAATGAGAATATGTTGCTCAGCTAATCCTTTACAAAAGAACAAATTAAAACTAGAGCTGTGTCGGCTTTCAAACGTGAAATACTGAAATTACCTTCAAAATTTGAGCTGTAATGTATTTAATGTGCTTGTGAGCAGTGCTGGGTAGATTACTTACAAATTGTAGTCCGTTAATGATTTCAAGTTACATGACAAAAGATGTAGTTAGTAACGTAATCCATTACATTACACGTCAGGTAATATAATTAGACTACTTTTAGATTACTTTTGGATTACACTCTAAAAATGATGGGTTGTTTCAACCCAACTTTAGGTCAAATATGGACTAACCCAACTGTTGGGTTAAATTGTAAAATTACATTTTTAACCCAAAAGTTGGGTTAGTCCATATTTGACCCAATGTTGTGTTGAAACAACCCAGCATTTTTTACTTTTGACCTAACTTGTCTATCACATAAATTTAAAAGGACATCAATTTATCACATACATTTAAAATGACAAATCGCTTTGCTCTTCAGGAGAAAGCGATTTGTCAGTGGACACAGCAAGAGTGTTTTACTTAATATCAGTTTTCTGTTTCTGTCGTTTAGAATAAATATCTGTTAGTAAGGAGGCCCTCGTGTGAAGACCGACGAGACAAAGACCTGCGGCTCTACCTGCGCAACTCCACAGAGCAACGACACAGACAAGACACAGTAGTATCTTTCCTTTATTCTACTTCCCTTCCATTCCTCTCTCCACCACTTTCAGCATGTGCTTCCATTATATTCCAGTTGTTTCTGCGCTATCATGCCAACCTGCGTCCAATCCACACTTCTTTTGCACCCCTTTCTTTTTCTATGGGCCTGTGGAGTCTGCTCAGAGTCTCTTAGGCTCGACTGAGACCTGGATTAAACCTGAAGACACTGCAACCCCTGCTGTCCTCTTTCCAACATCTTCTCTTTCACCCACACCCCCAGTCAGGTTGGGAGAGGTGAGGGTACTGGTCTCTTCATTTCCCAAAGCTGGAAATACCTTCCATGCTCTTTTAACTTTAACAATACTTCATTTGAATTTCATGCCATTGCAGTCACACTCCCTGTAAAAATCCACATTGTAGTTATTTATCGCCCTCCAGGTCAGCTGGGAAACGTTCTAGAAGAACTGGATATGCTGCAGTCCTCATTCCTGGAGGATGGCAGCCCTCTAGTTCTTTTTGGTGACTTCAACATCCATGTTGAGAAGCCACATGCTACTGACTTCCACTCTTTCCTATCCTCTTTTGACCTTCGGCGGCTCAACACCACAGGAACCCATAAATCAGGTAACCAGCTCGACCTCATCTTTACACGCAGTTATACCACAGATAACATCTTGGTCAAAATTTGCATGGCTCGGATAATTTCATTATTACTTTATTCTATATCTACCTTCTTCCGCACCACCAACCCCTCCGCCAGTTTTGTTTAGAAGAAACGTAAGATCTCTTTCTCGACTTTCCTCTGTGGTATCATCCTCTCTTCCCACCCTCACACATTTCTCATCATTAGATATGAATTGTGCCACAGATACATTATTTCCCAACTTAACTAGCTGCCTATACAATATCTGTCCCATTTCCTCCAGACCAGCACATGCTACTCCCTTCAACCCCTGGTTAACCGATGCCCTTCGCAAGCACTGGACTAAACTCAGGGCAGAGGAGAGAAAATGGCGCAAATTAAAAGATTCAGCTGATCTCAGCAGGTATCAGTCACTGCTATCTTCATTTTCCACCAATGTTCATTGCTGCCAAATCTAACTTCTATAACAAGATCAACAACGCATCAGACACACGCAGACTCTTCAAAACATTCAATACTCTCCTTTGCCGCCACCCCTTTAACTGCTGACGATTTTGCAGAATGACTATTTCAGTCATGTATAATGGGCACTTCTTATGTTTATTGCCATCTTGTGATAAATCACTTGTTACCAAAGTTTCCCAAACTGGCATTTTTGAAGGAACTGCAGGGGGTTCGTTAGCTTAATGAAAAGCTAATAATAAAATAGATCATAAAAATGTAAAATTAAAATAAATATTTTTTTAAAATAATCAAAATAAAACACTAAAACATAAAAAATATGGAATATTATACCCTTTTACCTGCATGTCATGTGACCATGTGAATATATAATCATGTAATCAATAAAAAGTAACTGTAGTCTGATTACAAGTATTTTACAATGTAATGTAATTAATTACAAGTACTTAATTTTTGGAACCTGATTACGTAATCCAGATTACTTGTAATCGGTTACTACCCAGCACTGCTAGAGTGACCAAACGTTTTGACGAATTAATTCCCATACATTTTTCATTATTTTTTACAGTCTTTTTTTATTGATCGATAAAGAAATCGCAGATTTATAATCAGGCCATTTTGAAAATCTGAAATGGTTTTCAGTTACATCTGCTCTAAAGATCCCAGTGTATTTAAACCAGTGATAATTTGTCTGCTCATAGACAACTATACATGCAAACCCACATATGGACACCATTTTTATAGCCATAAAGTGACACAGCAATGACGCACCAACCTTGGTGAGATATCACAGCCCTGCTGCATGAAGGCCCCTAGAGAGAACCACAGGCTGTTAAAAATCCCAAAGTCATTAGGCGGGTCTGGAGGGGTCTGGGGGTCTTTGGCTTCATCAGTCTCATCCAGGTGCCACTCGTAGGGGCTGAAGCGGCTCACGAGGAACAGCACAACGCTGACGCCGATGTAGGCGAAAACGATACACATCCAGATCTCGTATGCCAGAGGGTCCAGGAAGGAGAACACACCCGGCTTGGACTTCTGAGGTTTCTTAATCATAATGGAGATGCCCAAACTCATGAAGGGCTTAGAAAAGTCAATGACTTCCTCTCGCACAAGCGTGATCGTTAATGGTGCGACGGCTATATCTGCTCTCTGGAAATAGGGACATGAACAAAATGTGTTAGTGCTGGACATGCACCAGTACAATAAACATGCAATGCAATACAATTACTTTTCCAGATCTTAGCAAAGTATTTATTTCTCACAAAGAAGATTTGGCAGATTTAGTTGCAAATTTACTTCAAGCTGTATATCACAAAGGGACTTAGTGGAATGTTCTGGTTTCAGTACAACTTAAGCTTTGCCAACAACATTGATGGCATGCTGTTGATTACAACAGACAATATGTTCAACTCATTTCTTTGTTTTGTTAAAGCAAGAACCACAATCACAGTAATGTACAAGGTAACTTTTTTTTAACATTGGATTTTTATTATTATTATTATTATTATTATTATTAATTTTATTTTTTACTTCAGAATGGTATGAATCCTGATTATTTTTGTGGGGCTTGCTATATGAACATATCAAAAATCATGGACATAATTTGAAAAGGATAGATGGTCTTCAAAAATAGTCACCCCTGTGATCTTTGTGTAGTAAATGAATGAAAAATTAGAAAAATACAACAATACAGCAGTTGTTTGGGTACAATGTACAAATCAATGAAGTAGTACTTCATAATGTTGAAAAATATATACCCAAATGCAATACCTAAAAAAAACCCCCAAAAACGTCATTCCTATTGGTGGAGTTTGCTCCGTGTATCTTTACACGTCTAACGCCAAGGTTTCTGTGCTTAAATGATTTTGGAAAAATTGAATATGTAATGGCACTAGTCTCGTACTGACTCACTGGCATACATTAAGGGTATACTTTTAAGAGCAGTTTTATTATTATTATTATTATTTTTTTTTACAAATGATTTAAATTAAATTCTATGTTATTTTCTGTAGTCTGTCCATGAAGCATTTTTGAACCTGGAACTTTCTATTAACATTTGGATGAATCAATCCGATCAATTTGTCACAGTATATTACATGTAGAGCTCAGAGGGGGTCATTTAGTGTTTTCTCAGGCCTTGGTGTGCAGAAAGAAGCCAGGAAAATGACATTCACAGAGACAGGACTTTCACTGCCTCAGAGAAGCACATGCGAGGCGTAACCGAAAAGGCTTTTTGACTGTATAGCGCAGAAGTGACAGCTGAGCGTTCACTTGACTAGATAGGAAGAGTCTTGCTAATTTCTGTGACCCCTATGCCACTGTATCAGGCGACAAACAGAGCGTAATCGGAACGAGCAGGAGACTTTGTTGGAAAATCTTTTTTGAATGCTTCCCTTCTCATGCTTCACATAGCGTTGCTGTGGGAGCTGCAGATATGAGGCACAGCCGCTTCCCACATCCCATAATCCTCAGAGGCACTCTAGCATGAGCGTATAATAAAACGACAGTAAAAGATTTTATCTCGCATGTGCCCTCAGCCAGGAGGACATTAGTTATGCAATCAGGAAGTATAAGGTCCCGGTAACTCTGCAGGTGAACACTGGTTATAAAAGCCTCTACAAATATTAATATCCTTTTATCTTGTGGTTGTAGTGAATGGAACTCTGGTGTACTGTCTCAAATCATATAATCATTTGCATATAAATAGCTAATTAAGAGTCTACCAGAAGTGATTTATCAGCGAGGAAGAAATACGCCTCAAAACTCTCAGCATCTACTGCACACTAGATAAATAATTGCATGTGATCTTTTTAACTCTAAAATTAGCTATGTATTGCACAAATGTGCACAGGTAAAATCCAATTGATATCAAAAATCTGTTGATAAAATGTGAAAAAATAAGTGAGATTGAATAACACATTTAGAAGAATCCCAGAGGAATCCACTTCATGTTTTTTATCTGTTTATGGCTAGTAATGGAAAACAAATCCATGAAAGCCGTAGCGTTTCTACATTATAAAAGCAGAGGAATTCACTGTCATTGTTTAAACAGAGCTGTCGTTACTGCCTGAAAACTTCAACACATGACAGGAGTGGATCATATGGCTATAATATGATTACATGATTATAGTATCAATCGGTGAAATTTTGAAAGTGTATCTTCCCAAGCTACAAACTACTCAGAATTTAAAGTCAAGCTGCAATTTTGAACACGACAAGCTATTAAGAAAAATCTACATTGGTGCTATTAAAGGGGGCATTTTTAAACAAAATATATCAATAACTATCAGATTATATAATTTATTTATTTATTTTCATGAGATAAATATTCGTCTGGAAGAATAACAGTAAGGATCTCGTATAGGGTGACAGTGTTAAACTTCTACACAAAATTAATAAAAAAAAAAAAGTGTTAAACAGCGAAGAACAGCATAAACCAAATAATACACTATAAACAAGAAAACTTACAATGCTGTAATGTCTTATTTTAAACACTTATTATTCTTAGCATTAATTACTACATATTGAAAGTCAGAAAGGCCATTCTGTGAGAACCTATATATCCGAAGGTTAAACATAGCTCAGAAACGTTTGTCCTTACTATCTGAGCTGAAAGTTCAATGGTTCAGTGATGGTGAGATTTTTTTCTTTTTATCTCCACATGCATTTCTTCCCCATTTTGAGAATAATTTGAGTATAATTTCCAATGTTAGCACATCAAAACCAGGCAATCTCTTTGGCTGATGGTAAAGAAATTGAACAGATGAGGTAGCCTAACCCTCATGCATTTTGTATATGGTCTTCCTTCTTGAATGTCAGCTCGGGGAATTGGAAGTGATTTCACTGGGTTTTCCTCCATTTATAGCAGGGGAGTGCTTTGACAAATGCAAAAATGGCAGGTTGCCTGGGCGTACTGTGAAAAGTGCCTTTGAGATCCAACAGCATAGAGATGAATCAAAGCAGTGCATGCTGGGAAGGAGCATGTTTAAAACACTGTCTCACCACCAGCACTGTCTGGCTGCGGTTATAGTTGAATGACACCCAGACATTTCCAGTCAATTTCCCCACACTCTTTCCCATGAACGAAAGACAAAGGCAATTCACTTCTTCCAACCCATTATTTGACAGCAATTTCTCTTTATATCATTTATGCAAGGTTCATGAATAAAAGAGACTACTGCAGAAGGAAAGGTTAGTGTTTCTCCGGAAGAGTTCCTAACAAATCCAATACTCACCCCATAGACTAGTTCACCCACCATCCCGTTCCAAGTCTTGGTTTCAGGGTCACGGGCGCCATATTTTCCATCCATGACTATGGACAGTTTGTACTTAATCCCAACATGTTTGGCAATCTCAGAAGCTAAATCGACACAGTAGCCTTCATACTTGTCATTGCCTTCCAGATGCATGTGTTTTTTCTTGTACATCACATACGGTGCTTCCTGTTAATCAAACACACGCTCATTTATTATAGTCTTCACTTACTGCTTTCATTGTCTGGTGTCACAGGCACCAGAGCCCACCGACAGCTTATCAGTCACAGGCATGCAGGCATGCTGGAATATCATAACTGTGCATTCATACCCACCCATTCTCTCACACACATAATCCACCAAACTGGAACACATACAAGACGAATGACTGAAGCAGCAGACAGGGGATTGTAGGACATTTATCCACACGTGGCCACAGTCAGACCGAACTGATAATTGCCCAGCCTCTTCTAAGGCCCTCTTTACACCTGGTATTAACATACATCTCAGGTAATCCATTCACAGGTTGCCAACTATGACAAATTGTTGTCTACACCTGAGGCACAGTCTGAGAGATAAAATAATATAAAATCGGGATCTTGTGCTCTTGGTCTTAGACCTCAAGAAATCACAATAATATTTGCATGTCTTACTCTGGGACTTGGATTATGGTCTCAAAAAGGATTTCAGGCAGACTTATTATAGGTGATAATCACTTCAATCTCTAGTTTCCACAGTATCTTTTAAGCTACCGAGAATTTGCAAGAAACTAATGCCTTTGAGTGGCTGCTTAGCTACTGTATAGAGAGGCACAGTGTTTTGAAATGAATGCTGCAATAAATTCACTTTTTTTTTTTTTAAGTGACAATTGACAGACTAGTTCTTGGGTGGCTGGTACTTGGTTTGGGCCACTGTCCACCAGAGCTCCATCCCTAATCAAAAATGCATCAGAAAAATCTAACCCAAGGGTGCTTTTCCTGGAGATCTACCTACCTGCAGAGTTCAGTTCCAGCCCTGCTCCAGCACACCTGTCATAATTATCAAGTGTTCCTGAATATCTTAATTAGCTGGTTCAGGTGTGTTTAATCAGGGTTGAAGCTAAGCTTTGCAGGAAGTTATGGTGCATTCAAGTCATGTCGGATAGATCGTATTTACGAGTTGAACGCACATGAATGCCACCACAAAGTTGTTATTACGAGTGGGAAACTCGAAATTTTCTTTAAGCTCCGAGTTTCTGAGTTGGGGGCATGTCAATGAGAAACATGGCAGAATCGATGGATGCAACGTCTGTAGTTGACGGTAAATTTTTGTTTAAATTGATAGTTTTGTAATATAACAATTAATAACAAGTTTTTATGCGATACAGATTAAAGTGGCTTCATAAATTACTTTTTAAAAATATTAAAAAGGCAAAACACACCTGATGCGAATTCTTTGCTCTTCATTTTCTATAAGCAGAGTTAACAGACCCTATTGTATTTTCTTGTAATTTATTAAAAGAAGGTACACCGCCATCTTGTGCCGACTAAACTGACTTGAACGCACCTGACGTCGTAATTACGACTTGTCAACTCGTAAGTACGAACGTCCCAGGAGGACTTGAACTCAGCAGTAGATCTCCAGGAACAGGAGTGGGAACCCTTGATCTAAAGTACTAGATGTATTCAGGATTGCTTGAAAATTACAATCAGGTGGCTTTGATTAGGGATGGAACTAAACTCTGCAGGACAGTGAGCCTCCAGGACTGGAGTTGCCCATGCCTGGTCTAGGATTATTGTTCTGAGTTTGGGTCTCATTATAGATCTGGGCTGTGGTATTAGTCTGAATCTAGGTTTTGAAGGGTATAGTCTTGACTCCACCAATATTAACATGCATCTCCAGTAACCACTTGAGTTTTATCACATACATTGCACATCATATACATCACATAGTATGTGTTGGGTGAGTGGACATCATACGCGTCCTTGTCCACCTCTGATTATGGAAAGAATATGTTCACAAAAAAACTGGACTCCGTTTACCTGCATTTAGGACTGTCCACTTGGGATCTAAACACTGGAGATGGATGATATCAGGTATAAACAGGGTCTAAGACCATAAAGCAACATTGGAGACAAATCAAAATAGGTTTGATTCTGGTTCTCTCTCTTTCACACGCATGCACGCACACGGCCGTGTTGAATTATCCCAGGGGTCTGAAATGCATTGGCAGTTGAGGGTGAGAGGTGAGGTAGGCAAGAACGTATGAAGTGAGAAGGAATCCGATTCATGAAGTAAATGGCAGTGACTGCAGAGGAATCATAGTGTTGATTCTGTTCAGACATATTCAAGCACGTTGCACCTATATGCGACAGAATCCTTCATCATTCCAACAGAAAGAACACTGAACATAGCCCTACTAAATAGACCAGCTTACAACAGCATGAATTTCAGGCTGGTTTATGCCAGGTATTGCTGGCTATGTGTCTATTGCGGTTTCGGTCTAGCTGGTGGACCAGCACAAGTCGACTAGCATGGTTGTTCCGGTGATACTGGCTGACTTGAGCCTTCTACACACTGCATGATTTTAGCAATCCTATAAGATCATTGCAAATCACACTGTGCGACATGGATCTGATAAACTTGGGTACGACATGAATCCAGACTGTACAATGATGAAGCCTAGTGACTCGTAGGCTATGACGCACGTTATTCTAGAACACTGGTCACCAACCTTTTTAGGCCCAAGATCCCTGACCTCGGCCTTTATGAAAGACAAGATCTACCTATTGAAGAATTGATAGAAAAAGACATCCCAGATTGTACTTCAAATTTGAGGTCTTTTACTTAGTATTTTAATTAGTGATGCGCCGATCATAGCTGATTCCGAATTCAGATTTTCTTTTCTTCTTTTTTTTTTTTTTTTACTAGCAAATTGGATTCTGATACTGATACTGATTTTTAAGCAAATTAATTTATTGGCTATTTGCTTTATAACAAACAAACTGGCTTTAAACGAAAATATCTAGCCATTTGACATTAGAGGCAACCACTGCATTTTAATCACGATGCCCGTGCACAGTTGTTTTTGATTTGATTTAGATTAATTTCAGGATTTAAAACAAAAACAGAATGGTCTGATTTTAGGTGTTATTTATTTATTTGCTACATAAAACATCTGCACGAAACAAAAACAGCAGGTCTGAATGAGACGCACTCTCTGACAGCAGGTGGCGCCTATGAACAGGGTTGCCAGGTTTTCGCAATAAAACTAGTCCAATCGCGTTTCGAGGGGGGTTAAATGTAATGCATTTGTGTACTTATTTTACTTTTTTTCGGGATCTACTGGGACAGTGATAAAGATCTACCAGTCGATCGTGATCGACGAGTTGGCGACCACTGCTCTAGAAGAATAAAACATCATCAGCATGCGCTAGTGGTAAACAAAAAGAGCATGATGAATCACGCTTTGGCAGTTGTAGTTTTTATATGTGCTGAAAAAAAATGTGTAAACGGCGAAAGAGGAAGGGATAAGAGCTTGAGGTAAGCAGTTTTATGTTTTAGTGCCATGTCGCGTTGATTTCATGTCACATTTCTATTGGCTGGTCAGTAAACGTGGGTCGTAGCAGCAAACACATTGTGCAATTAACATGATGAATTTCTGGCGCTGTCAGAAAATGATTGTAGGCTATCTTTGGGTGCAAGACCGTGACAACGGGTGTCTTTGAACCTCTCTCACTGTACGACATAGAAGCCACAATCACAGAAATCGCCACGATTGTTTCACGATGACAATCTTTCGTCTGGGACAGCTGAAAATTGTGCAGTGTGTCTCGAGCTTTACTGGTTTAGCTTAATAAAATAAACAGACTGGTGGGAACACCAGCAGCACACCAGCGTGCCATGCTGGGGACCAGCATCTAAAAACACAATATATGGTCTTTTCAGTAGGGAAACAAAACCAAAGCAAAACCAAAGCCATCGTTAGGATCCAAATTCAAAAGCACTTTGTCGGCAAACAGAATTGAACAAAGAAGACAAGCTAGTTTTATCCTCTCTTTCACCCCCCATTTCAAACATTGTGGAAGCGGCTTGCTTTTTTAAGCACATCATTATTACCAAACAATATGACTTCTCGCAGAAAGAACGCATCCCATTAGAGTCAGAGACAATTAGGGTGCCAGTGGGTTAGCAATGGATTGTTTGTTCTGTGCTGAATGTATCCTCTCACCTCATCCTTTGTGCAATTGTTTTCCTCCTGAATCCCTCTGATAGAATAACCGACAGCTGCTGGTTTAATTGCTCACATTCAAGTCATTTGAAAGACTGACCTTGGTTTTTGGTGAAACAAAACAATTACGAGTGATTGTTGTTTTGCACGGGATGATGTTGTGAGCATTGATTTGAATTCCTCAGAGATGTGTATTCGCCTTGCCAATTGGAGGCTGACGTTAAAGCTAATGCCATTAACGGCAGAAGATGAAGTGATACGTCAGCACCGAGCAGTCCTCCGGTCAATGTAAAGTGGATCTGTGCAAGGGCCTCATACCTGGCCTCACTCAAATACGCTTTAACTTTGCCAGAGGCAAACCATCGAACCCTTCTTTGTCGCGGTAAGAATTAGCTTGTTATAGCTCATGTGTCATTGACCATTTACTTGATGAGTGGAAACAAGTCTTACCTACATATGCATTGTATGTCTACTTGATGATGTCAATGTGAAACCATCATACCTAATGCCGTTATTGTGATGTCACTGCTACGACAGGCCACTGACATATGGAAAATCAAAATGCTTTGACACCCACACGGATACAGTTGAAACACTCATGCGTCGGTTTTCCTCACGTTCGACTGTTTCAACGTGTAATGAGTGGATGGAAAGCAACACAAAAGAAATGTACTTCTACCCGCCCAGGACAGAATGTATCAATCTAGGAGTCAACACCATGACCCTGATGGGCAGAATATGCGACACGTTTAAAACGTCATGGAGCGTGTACCATAATAGTAGTGACCACAATTGTTCGGTTTTCCACTGAGGAATCGTTGGTGTACTGCTGATCCATTATATTAACAAAGCGCTCAAACTCATTCCAGTACCCGATCTGCAAAGGGAAAACATTCACGTTAATATCCAACAGCAGACATTTTTACTGCATTGACACTACCAACACTCTCCCCCTCTCCCCCCAGCCCTTCTGTTCAGCTAAGGAGGCTGTTGTGGATGTGTACTCTCATAAGACTGTGTTCATTAAAAGAGTATTAGGTCTCCGTGCTGCTGCTGTTATTGCCTGGAGTTAAACAAAAAAGACAAATTCTTGGCTGACATTTGTTAAATGGGAAAAATGCTTATGGTGGAACTTTCAGGGATGCAGAAGCTGGAAGCTACTCTTGGATGTAATTCTGCTCAACAAAAATTAAACTTGATTAGGTTTTAATGATTTATGCATTCTGTGCTTCTCTTTGCTATATGCTTGAGTTGTTTAGCGGTTGAGTGGCATGTGTCAGAACCGTTAGCATAGCACTAGCCGCTAGGGCATCACTGAGGTGACATTGTAGAGGGGTCCGACACAGTCTTGTACATCACTTCTGACAGTCATTGTCAATTCGCTTCTCCTTACCGACACTTACCCATCTAACCTTAGGCTAAACTACTTTCATCCATGGCGATTGTTGCTGGAATACTGTGTTATAAAGGGCAGTTTCTATTAGCTCAAAAGAAAGATGATGAATACTGGTTATGTTGAGCTTAAAGATGAACACAGTTTGATGAGCACAGTTTTATTTTCTGTTATGATGCATTTCTTATTGAAGCTTGAAGTTAGGACATATTGAAGGGCTTGTCCAGCCACATCTATTTGCAATCAATTGAGGCAAGACTACGGTGGCTGAGAGAGCTAAATGTGCTGCAAATGAAAAACAACCAACAAATTTAGAAAACATCTTCACCAGTTTGACAACACATGTGCTCCAAATATGCACAACGCGACCAAACACAGAAATGCACTGCAAATACGCACAACACAACCAAATTCAGAAATGCGCTGCGAATAAGCTCAATACGACCAAATACAGAAACATGCTGCAAATACACACAGACCACAACGGAATGTTTAAGGTAACCGCAACAAGTGACGAACCTGGCTGGGACATGTCTATAAATGTGTGCTCAGAAAAGTGAGATTTTTTTTTTATATCCTGATCATATGATTCCTTAGCTTTTTAGATATCAGTAGCCTAAATAAGCTGACGAAATACACAATTACTGTAACTGTGAAACTTTATGTAAGCTGGCTAGCTAATGTGACTCTGGACCACAAAACCAGTCATAAGTCGCTGGGGTATATTTGTAGCAATAGCCAAAAATACATTGTATGGGTCAAAATTATTGATTTTTCTTTTATGCCAAAAATCATTAGGATATTAAGTAAAGAACATGTTCCATGATGATATTTTGTAAATTTCCTACTGTAAATATATTAAAACTTAATTTTTGATTAGTAATATGCATTGCTAAGAACTTAATTTGGACAACTTTAAAGGCAATTTTCTCAATATTTTGATTTTTTTGCACCCTCAGATTCCAGATTTTCAAATAGTTGTATCTCGGCCAAATATTGTCCTATCCTAACAAACCATACATCAATGGAAAGCTTATTTATTCAGATGTATAAATCTCAATTTTGAAAAACTGACCCTTATGGCTGGTTTTGTGGTCCAGGGTCACTAATTTTCACAACTTCCCCTATGAACATTAACCACAAATTAACCATGGCTTTGCTACACTAACCATAGTTTAACCACGGTATTTGTACAATTGTGGTTATACAAATGGTAATCAATATGTCAAAAAAAAAAAATATGCATATGTTTTCTTAAGTTGCAGCGCATTGAGCTCTCTCGGCCACCGCACAAGACACTATACAGGCAAAAAAAAAAAAAAACTCTTTTCATGCACTATTGTTTGTTCCTGCACTGAGCTTCAAATATCCACTTCAGTAACACTTACACACACACCAAACTTTACAGTTTTATTCCTATCTATATTCTGAAGGTTTTTACAGATGGTTTGCTCATGTATCATTTGCTTGATTTATATAACATTTTATTGCTTTGGTGAAAATCTATTTATTTTTCTGGCTGTTGACAGTATTTTCTGATTTATGGACTGATAAATAGAGGCATCCAAAATCCTCTCTTTAAAAATCTTTAACTCTTACACAGTATGTCAACAAAATGAAACTTGAACCATGTTAATTTTGAACAATGTTCAGATTTCTGTTCTGCAAATGTATGCATATTATTGCATGTTTAAGTAGAAAATACTTCATTTACATATTTAAACATAACATTTCAGATTTTTTTAATACAAAACTTAGTTTCTTAATGTACTTAAGTAACTGGGGAGGTATGGTGAAATCTGTTTTTACCCAATTCACCTGTGTTGTCTTGCCTTAGTTGTTGCTATTGCTAGTTTGTTATGTGCAAGATCATCAGAGTCATCAGTATTTTTTTCTCTATTTTCTCTAGTGAGCTATAACTATTTTAAATGTGTATATCTGACAAAGGGGCTGGTTTTGTGGTCCAGGGACACTAATTTTCACAACTTCCCCTATGAACATTAACCACAAATTAACCATGGCTTTGCTACACTAACCATAGTTTAACCACGGTATTTGTACAATTGTGGTTATACAAATGGTAATCAATATGTCAAAAAAAAAAAATATGCATATGTTTTCTTAAGTTGCAGCGCATTGAGCTCTCTCGGCCACCGCACAAGACACTATACAGGCAAAAAAAAAAAAAAACTCTTTTCATGCACTATTGTTTCCAAACAAAGTAGTTTCGCTTTCACAACGAAACACATGGCGGGCTAGAGTGAGCGGCGGCTGGCGGGCTTGAGAACGGCGCGGCCGGCGGGCTTGCGGCAACCAGATGTGATGACCCCGGGCTGAACTCCGCTTCGTCCACGGTGAAATCCGATCTTACAGATCTTCTTTATGCACCAAGAGCTTGTAGCACTTCAAAGATAAAGGAAAAATTGAAATCGCATCATATGACCCCTTTAAACCAGCATATACTGTACATATTGAAATGGACCCGTTTGAGTTCTCACACTGACTTGTACAAAGCGTACCCAACAAGATGGACAGATTTACTTATGACTTACTTTTCTTGGGCCACCTGTTTTCATTTCATAAACATCAATAGTGTAGTTTGATCTGCGACCAAAGCTGTCAAACTGGATATTGCCAGTCATCCCTTGCACCTGGACCTGCCAGAAACAATAACAACACAAAGAAACCAGCAAAATAACAATGGTGCTTTGAAACTTTTTAGGAATACATTAGGATGTGTTGGAGTAATGCAAATGAATCATACGGAGGCTAAATTAATTTCAAAGTACTCACTCTGACAATCTGAATTACACATTGAGAGATTTCAAATGGTTATTGTCATTTTCAGAAAAGCTAAAGCACTCAGAATCGTGCATGAGTAAAAGAAAAGATAGACATTTTACCATTTTGAGAGCTCGTTCAATGTCGATGCCTTGGCTCCAAGGGACCGCAGGGTTAGCCAGGCAATCACCTGCACTGCCTCGTCTGGACACATCTACTCGCTGGCGTCGCAGGTACCGGAACGCCTCCGCAATGACCAGTATAGCATCATGAGACAGCGCTGAAGTGTACTGTACACAACAACCGTTAAGCACCTCACATTAACAGTTATTTGTTAGACCAGTTTAAAATAAGCAAACACATTATCTGTAAGTAAACACTTTGAAGAGGGATAAAATAAGCTGCCCTCTTGCAGGTCTAAACGCATCTTGATGTACATAATGAAGGATAATTGTGTTGCATTACTGCATGTAATCATAGTTGGCAAATGCAACAAAAGACGACACACTTCAGGGACGTATCTTGTACATTGTTTCATGCTATGAAAAGAGTGTTAACCAGGTTTCTAATTACAGAGATATGTAAAATGTTTAGTTATGTGAGACTCTACAGAGTTTTGCTGCTATTGTTTTTCATGGGTGCAACCTGCAATTACATCTCATTTCAACCAAGAAAAGAGAACAAGCTGGCATTTGCTAATTTGCCGTGAGCTACACTGTTGTATTGTTTTGTATTTCAAAGCGACTGCAGCGAGGAATTTAGTGACTAAAATAAACGTAATATAACAAAGGTAACATCAAAGGAGACATTGTGCCTTTACATTCACGATTCAAAATGCTTTCTGATGCCTTCATTAAAATACTGTCCTGGAAAAGACTTGGAAAATGTGTGTGGCTGCAAGTGCAAATTTCCACAGTGAGATATTAATAAAACTCGTAAAGAAAACATTGTGTTTGTAAAAATAAATCAATAAAAATAAAAGGAGCCTACTGTGTGAAATGTACTTAATTTTCATAAAAATAATGTCACAATGCAAAATATGTACTGGGTGCCTAAAACCTTAATTAAAAAAAAAAGAAAAAAAAAAAAAGAAGCAAAATATAATACATTTTTTCCCTTGATTTTTTGGGTGACTTGGACATTCTTATAACATTCAGGTGTTTTTAAACCTGCTCGTCAGTTCAATGAGAGCATGGCCATTTTTTACCCACCCATCCACAATAAAACCTTAATTAAAACAGCTTTTAAAATCTATTCATCTCATGACCATTATTTAATTAGATGTAAATTGAGCCCCAGTTTTAATAGCACCTTGGAATGATTGTCAATATATTGACTGTTGCAAGGAAGGAAAATAAAGAAATCAGGCAAAGAAAGAAAAAGTCAAAGATCAGAAGAAGAAGAGACAACAATAATGATTGTTGTTGTTGTTTTTAAGTAGTAGTTCAGACCTTCAGAGGTGTGTTTTTAGCTTCAGGAAACTCTCTTTCATCTAGACGGTCCCATCTCTGGAGAAACTGTTGTACAACTGAGTTTTCAGGATTGATTATCTGGAAGCCACTAATGTTTGCTCCGCCAAGAAAGACCTTGTCCAGGCTGATGTTGGTGAAGCCCTGTGGAAAGAGATGATGGAAAAGAAGCAAGTTTAGGATCCATGAGATGATGGCAATATAACATCTTATGAAAATGGATCTCAGTGTTTCTGGTTCAAACCCCAAAAGGGGACATCACTGGGGCTCCTTATATTGTGGAACATTGAGTTTAAATGCATATATATATATTATATATTATATAAGGTTGTCAAATTGGTAGAACCATAAGAAAACCAATATTTATGATTCAAATACATCACTTTAAGGAAAAAAATACACTCATGTATATCGAAAGTGTGTAGAAAAATACATTTCTTTTTACTTTTTACTTTTTACTGATTACACTTGCATTTTTAGAGTTATTAAGTTTAGTTGAAAATCAAGTAAAAATGACAGTAAAACAAACAAATACATATATTACACTCCTTTGGTGCATGTTTTGTAGTGGAACGCTCTTATTTGTCATTGAATTTGCATTATTTCTGAAATCTCTCTTCTTTAGTTAGAGTACGGAGGTGCTGAAACTCACCAGATTGGCAATAACATAATGGTAGCCGCGACTGTTCTTTCCGAGTGCCACAACCTACAGGAAAGAGAATCAATAACAGTTTACAATCCATGTAAGAAGAGTGCAGGGGCCTTATTTCGTCCCTCAGGTGAGCTCCTCTCTCCATTTACACTGTCTTAAGTGACAAAGGCGCTCAACATTGATGGATGTTTCCTCATGCAGCAGCTGACAGTCTTTGATGTGGCTTGCTACTGTATGCTGGCCAACGGGAATACACATGGACAAAACCCTACATTTCTCTGACTTCTTATGCATGAACAAAGGGTGTCACTGCTGGGTCGGGTGGCGCCGATGACTGACCCGATCTGACCCTGCAACCTTCCCCTCAGACCTCTTTCATTAGTGGCCATTAGTGAAGTGTACAAACAATAGTCACTTCAAGGTCATAATTTTGCCATTTATGATCCTGGGTAATGTGTCCTCATGATTCATTTTTAAACCCATGGCAAGATATGTCACATGGGATTTTGAAAGTTGTTAGTTGTGACCACATGTGCACATAAAAGACAGTAAATACATTTTTAAAGTGCTACTAACTTCTAACTGGAACTCATTCTATGTCAATTGGTCAATTTTGGAAAAAAAAAGTTTACACTTTATTTTGATGGTCCCCTTTAGACACTCTGTTGACTGTAAGTAACTTTGCAACTACACGTCAATGAACTATCATTAGAGTATTAGTAGTGTATTAGTAGACTGTTGAGTTAGGGTAAGTTGACATGTATTAGCAAAGTTCCTTTTCAGTCAGTCACGTTCGATATTACGTCCACACTGACGTTATGGGGTCTCGCTTGGGAGCCCAATCACTTCTGAGTACTATTTAAAAAGGCTAATGTGAACTGGCGAGTGGAATTTGCATGCCAAGCCACTCCCCCTACATACTGGTGGTACATAAGCTGGTGGCATGCATCCACTCATTCAGATTTTGCTTCAGAGCTGAACGCTTCAACAAAGTTACAATTACATCTCGAAAGAAGACCTTGAAAGGATAAACCCTTCAAGACATCGCCTCATCCCCTCTTGGGATCTCTCTGTGGTCCTTGCTGGACTACAGAAGGCTCCCTTTGAGCTCCTTGAGTCAGCCGAGCTTAAGATCCTGTTCCTTAAGACAGCGCTCCTGACTGCGCTCACTTCCATCAAGGGGGTGGGGGACCTGCAAGCATTTTCGGTCGACAGAACGTGCCTTGAGTTTGGGCCAGCTGATTCTCATATAATACTGAGACCCTGAACTGGATACGTGACCAAAGTTCCCACCACCCCTTTTCAGGATCAGGTGGTGAACTTGTAAGCACTGCCATTGGAGGAGGCAGATCCAGCCCTTGAATTGCTGTGCCCCGTTCGTGCCTTGCATATCTATGTGAGATGCACAAGGAGCTTTAGAAGCTCCGATCATCTCTTTGTCTGGTTTGGAGGTCAGCAGAAGGGAAAGACTGTCTCCAAACAGAGGTTGGCCCACTGGCTAGTGGACGCCATCACTTTGGAATACCATACTCAAGGCGAGCTGTGTCCCTTGAGAGTGAGGGCTCACTCCACTCTGAGTATGGCCTCCTCTTGTGCATTGGCACACAGCTCCTCTGTAGCAGACATTTGTAGAGCTGTGGCCTGGGTGACAACTAATACCTTAGCAAGATTTGATAATCTCCAGGTGGAACCAGTTTCTTTCCTTGAGTTGGGTATGAGTAGGTAATGGGTGGGAAGAATGGCTCGGTGTCATGCCTGCAGCACCATTACGGGTGCTAATTATTCTGTCAGTAAGTTCCCCAGTTGACCAACCCTGTTATGGCGCTTTTCCACTGCGTGGTATGACTCGGCTCGGCACGGCTCAGTATGGCACGGCACGGCTCGGTTTGCGTTTCCGCTGCAGTTTAGTATCGCTTTAGAGTGGGCGGGATTATTCACATGTCGTTATAGTTGCGCCGCCTCTACTGCCGCGACTCCTGAAAAACTTTTTCATTCCGCGTTGCCCCATCAAGCACGCTGGATCCGCTTCTCTGCTATCAGCGAGAGGAACGTCTGTACTTCCTCAACAGACAACGAAACAGCCACTTTTTGGTTGTTAAAAAAGGCGCGCTCGTTCAAAACAGTTGCATTCGATCCTTCGCTGGCTGTGCTGATTTAAATCTAGCGGTTCTGATGTGTTTGTGTCACACGTTGTACCCAGTGGAAAACCCCCCAAAAGTGAACCGTACCGTGCCGTACCATGCAGTGGAAAAGCGCCATTAGAGTCCTCTAGCACCCCTCGGCGTCAAGCTTGGTGGAGGAGTCTTTCACTAGGCTCAGTACTTGTGTTGTATGCCCTTTGGTCAGCCTTGTGCTGGGCTAGGTGTCCATACTGAGATTCCCTTCGGGTAATCCTGTATGTGTTTTTCCACAGTATGGTTCCCCTTTTTTTAATGAACCTGTGTCTTTCCCTGGAGTTCCTCTGTCTGTCCCTGCATTGCTAGCTGTTCCTCCTCTGGTAAGATGTACTTCCGCAGTGGACTCCATATGTTATACTGTTCCTTGGTCAGTCCATATGGGTATCTCCACATGTTACTTCCCTTTGGGTAGGATGTGGCTCCACTTCCCCGACGTAGTTGGCTGCTGTAAATTTATAGACCAAGAAGGAACAATTTCTCAAAATTCACATTCTGGGTTATTTGCTGCTGGGGGCATTGGGATGGTTACGCCTTGCAACTAGATTTGTCTTGGCACACTCACTTGCCAGCACCTGCATCGCTATCCTCATAACACAGTTCCTGGTTGTGGCACTTTCCACAGGGAACCCATAACGTCTCTGTCAACGTAACGTTGAACGTGACTGACTGCAAGGGAACGTCTCAGTTATGTATGTAGCCCTCGTTCCCTGAAGGATGGAACGGAGACGTTACGTCCCTCGTGTCACAACCTTGAACTGCCGCTGACAGGCTGGGACTCGTTCTCAGCTCCTTAGCACAAATCTGAATGAGTGGATGCATGCATCTTATATACCCATATGTAGGGGGATTGACTTGACATGCAAATTCCACTCACCAATTATTAAGCAGACAGTCTACTAATACTCTAATGACTGCTACTTGACATGGAGTTGCAAAGTTACTTATACTGTGGATGTCTGAAGGGGACCCTGAAAATAAAGTGTTACCAAAAAACCCTTTATACAAATGTTTCTTGTTTGTTCCACTCATTCATTCTGTATTAGTGAGCTGTGCCCATAGTTGCACAAATTAAAATAATAATAATAATAATAATAATGCCACATTTTCCCCCCATGCATTAAAAATGTAGCTTGAGGGAGAAATGACTGCTTGTGCATGCTGGTCAATTTTGACAGCAGCAAAAATGCTAATTCAAATCATGGTATGAAATAGATATAATATCACAGAGTTCCTGAACTGAAGATCATGAAGTAACTAGGCACTGTCAAACCCAAAAGACAACAAAAAGCACCATAAATATAGTTTATATGACCATATTGTAAGTGTTCTGAAAATGCATGACAGCTTTATTTTAATTTTATTTTTTTTAAGGAAAAACTAAATTTCAGTCGTTAAAAAATCTACATGTAGCTGTCAAACAAAATACGTGAGAACCAATGCCATTTGTATGGTGGCCGAGAGAGCTCAACACGCTGTAACTTCAGAAAACACATGCAAATAGAAAAAGCACCAGCAAATGAAGAAAACATCTTCATCAGTTTGAGAGCACATGTGCTGCAAATACTCGCAACACAATCAGATACAAAAACACGCTGCAAATGCTCACAACACAAACAAATAAAGAAACGCGCTGCAAATACTCACAACACAAACAAAGAAATGCACCGCAAATGCTCACAACACAACCAAATAAAGAAACGCGCTGCAAAAACAGAAACGCGCCGCAAATGCTCACAACACAACCAAATAAAGAAAAAGAAGAAGAAGAAGCAGCAAAGGAATCGTATGATCAGATTATGTTAGAATAAACACAAATCTAACCTTTCAGAGCAAACATTGATAAATATGTCCCAGCCATGTTCGTCACTTTGCAGTTCCCATAAACATTTCCGATGTGGTCTGTGCCTATTTGCAGCGCGTTTCTTTATTTGTTTGTGTTGTGAGTATTTGCAGCGCATTTCTGTTTTTGCAGCACGTTTCTTTATTTGGTTGTGTTGTGAGCATTTGCAGCGCGTGTCTTGTCAAATTGATGAAGATGTTATGAAGTGCTTAATTTGCAAGTAGTGTTTTTTCTATTTGCATGTGCTTTTTCATTTGCAGCGCGTTGAGCTCTCTCGGCCACTGTACATTTGGCTGCACTGATGTCAAACCTAGCATGACACAAAGATTTATTTAACACAATTTAGGGTAACGCTTTATTTTGAAAGTCCAATTTAGAAATTCTACTAGCTATAAGTAACTTTGCAACTACATGTCAACTAAAGCAGTCATTAGAGTAATGCTTAATATCTGCTCACACTTTATTTTGATGCTCCCCAACAGCCATTCTACTGACTATAAGCAACTTTGCAAGTATGTCAACTTATTCTACTAAGCCTAACCATAACCGTGTACCAGAGCTGATCCTCCCTATACGCAAGATACCAAGCTGCGTAGGGCCCCTGAAACACCAGGGGGCCCCCTTGCTCTCAACCTCCCTATATACGCAAAATACGCAAGCTGCGTAGGGCCCCCCGAAACACCAGGGGGCCCCGTTGCTCTCAAAGATGATTTAATTTTAGTTTCGTTTTTGAATTTGGCCAGCGGTTATGAAAACATGAATGATCATTTATTTTAATGTGGTGCGCTGTTGCCCTTTCTACGTAAAAATCAGTCAAATCATGTGTGTCTAATGTGAATGTCGTACAGTCTTGCTCGAGACTAAAGTGTACCGAGCCGCGGAAGAGACACACTGTTTCTCAAGTGCTTTCTGTGAGCGCGATTCAAGACGGAGTAAAACACGGACAAATTTGTTTAATTCATTCGTTCATAAGCATAACCAGTTTTGCGTAGGGCCCCCAGAAGTCTAGGATCGGCACTGCCATCTACTAATACTCT